TACACGTGTATATCGATGAGCGCATATGAGTGTATGTATGTGTGTGTGCATGTGTATGCTTGTATGGATGCATGTATGGATGTGTGTGCACGTGAGTATGTTTACGCCTGTATATCTGTATACTCACATGTGTACATATGTGTATAGGCACGTATATCTATGTTTGTTTGGCTATATTTATATGTGTGCACGTGTACATTTATGTATGTGTACACAGTCCTGTCATGTGTGTATAAACATCTTTATGTATACGCACATACATTTATGTTTGCACTTTATGTATGTGTATGTGTATACATGTTTATATTTATTTATATATATGAGTGTGTGTACATGTTTATGTACATTGTGTTCATGTGTAGGTGTGTTCATTTGTATATTTATTTGTGTATATTAACATGTGTGTACATGTGTGTACCCATGAACATTTATGCGTGTAGACGTGTATATTGTGTGTATGACTATGTCCACATGTGTACATTTATCTGTATTTGAGGGTGTATATTTATGTCCATGTGTGATTATGTGTGCACTTCTGTACACGTGTGTGTTCCGAGTATACATTTCTATATTTGTGTGTTTACGTGTGTCTATCTATAGGTGTATATCTGTATTTGTGTTAGTGTATGTGTATGCTTACGTGTCTGTACGTGTGTATATGTAAGTGCATGAGGGTACATGTGCATGTTCGTGTGTATACATGTTTATATGTTTTTATGTATACCCTCTTGAGACCTCTGGAATCATATAAGGCAGTAGCTTGAATCTCTTATTGTCTGTTGTGCATAACCACCCGTGACCCTTCACAAGCTCTTTGCAGCATTATTAGTGTGCAAAGCCTCCTGGCTCAAGGCCTTTTCGGTAGCGAGCTGGCTGTGGTAGCCCTGCCGGCGACCTCAGCACGAGCGAGGCTGAACCAAGAGGGCTGAGAATTCCAGGTCCATCTGAGCTAGGCAGTGAGATGTATCTCACACGACAACAACAAGGCCAACAATGAGTTGTTCTTTGAGCCATGAACTCACAAAGCAGGATGACACCATTTTCTTTGATTATAAAGTAGACTTTCATATAGTTGAGGTCTCATTGGACCCCTTTGCAGTGTTTGTACTATAGCACAAATATTTTAGGTTTAAAAATGTTAAAAGATGGCCACAAATTATAATAATCATTCCAGCTTTGCAAGAGGGCCACTGCACGAGTGGTTTGTCTGAATGTATTTATGTGCACTATATCCTTGACAGCTGCCCAAAGAGGTCAAAAGGGGACATCAGATTCCCTGGAGACAGAAGCAGCCAGATTTCTGTGGATTCCAGGCCAGCTTGATCTGGCTAGTGAGTTCCAGGCCAGTCAGGGCCACGGAGTGAGACGCTGTCTTGAAAAGAAAACAGAAAGTTAGCCACATAAGCACGCTTCAGGTACTCAGGGGCCACATGTGGTCACCTTGTTGGCTGGGGCAGCTGCAGAGAGGACACACCTGCTGTGGATCTCCGTGGAGCCAACGGTGGCTTTCTGCCCTCTGCCTCCCAAATGCTAGGCCTACAACAGGCCTGTGTCACCATGCCTGGCCAATGAGCTCCATTCCACGTATTATAATCACCACATCCTTAAATTCGTAAACACACTACAGGGATGGCTTCCATTTAAGTAGCTTCAGCTTATATTCGATTAATGTGGTCTAATTTATCTCAGAGAAGTATATTTAATATACTTTCAGCGGTGTTTATAGGAATATGCTGGGTACGCATTACTGGAATTGCTCTTGGTCACGTTTTTATACAATCCCGAAATGAGGCAGTAGCTTAAACATGGGTTCACCGGACCCGTGGGACATTAACGGAAGCTGGATATGCAACACTGAAAACAGCACTAGCGCTGAGAGTGGGCAGGAATCCGAAACAGCGTGAGCCCATTTGTGGAGCAACAGGTCAGCCTGTAAGTTCCTCATACGTTACCAGGGAATACAGTGGATCACTGACTGTCATCCATCTGTCGATTTAGTCTCCACTCCCACTCATTATGAAGCAAATGCCTTACTTCTGCATCAAAATCTTATCCAAATGATTAACACAGTTTAAGCCAGAAGCATTAGGAATTCACAAACCAGGACACAGGCACAGTAACTGGCACTTCTGGTTTATTTCACATAATTGTTCCTGTTTCGTTTCCTTTCTCTCCTCCCTTCATTCCCCTAGGGAGAGCATCATGAGCATGGAGAGCCAGGCTCTCCCCCATATCACATCCCTCCTGTCTCACTGCCTCTTCGGCTTTACTTCTATTTGTAAATTTTATTTGTATGTATGCGTGAGTGTCTGAGTGTGCGCCATATGTGTTCAGGTGCCTGTGGAAGGCAAAAAAGAGCATCATCTCTCCTGGAGCTGGAGCTGCGAGCAGGCGGTATGGGAAGCAGCTCAGGTTGTTGGAAGGGCAGCGGGCTCTCTTAACCATAACTCGCTTCTCCACCCCAGCTCTTTGCCTTAGTGTCTTCTCTGACCTACCCCTTTGCATGACATTGCTTCTTTGGGGAACCCGGACTCTCCCACAGGACAACCTTGTTCTGTTGGGCTGGGTTGGACTTGATAAAAAGCTTGGTTGGTGTGTGGCTCTCCTCTGGAGCTCCACTTTCCCAGTTGCAAAGCTTGTTTTAGGCAGTGACTACAAACCATCGTATGCCTCTTCCCTTTGCCTGTTTTGGAGGCTGATGGGAGTGGAGTGGAGTTGTTCAGCTCTGTTTCACTTTTGCCCTCACTTTGAAAAGTGACCTCTAATGTCTTGTCTCCTCGTGATGATACAGACACGAACTTGAATTCGCTTTTGGTGGTCCTCCAATCAGCTGAACAGGGAGGGAGGCTTTTCAGCAGCCACTTGCCTTCAGCTTTTAAAGTATGTCTTTGTTGGTGTTACAAAAGGACAAAGGACAGTTTCATGGACAGCACCTTCCCTTGTCTTTGTGGTACAGGGAGGCATATTTCTAAATACCCGACAGTCTTTTTTCTGCATGCATTGCACTTGAGCCATTTTTTTTTTTCTAGAACCCGGCTCTATTCATTCCTGACTTGGAACTCTGATGATTTAGATGTCTGTAGTGATTGATTTTTTTTTTTTAATTCCCTCCCTGTTTCGTTTTAAACTCCGAGGACTAAGACAAATTATGTATCTCCTTTAGGTCTGGTCAGATGTAAATGTTACACAAATTACGGTGCTTGTTTGGTTGTTGCTCATGAACTCATTTGTTTGAGAAGAATCAGTTAGCCTGGAAATCGCTGGGCAGCAGGCAGTCTGGCCTCCAACTCCCTTTGCTCCTGTGAGAAAGTGAGGCAGAGACATTTCACCAGGCTGAGACTGCCGTACAGGAACAGCAAGGGCCGGCCACAGCCTTTCTATGGAATGGACATGAATGTACAGAGAGGCTGGGGAATGTTTGTGTGTGTCTCGTGTGTGTGTGTGTGTGTGTGTGTGTGTGTGTGTCTAGTGTTTGTGTATGTCAGTATGTGTCTATGTGTGTTTGTGTGTGTCTGGGTGTCTATGTGTAGGTATATGTCTGCATGTATGTGTATGTATTATATGTATGTGCAGGTGTGTGTCTGTGTAGGTGTATTCTGTGTGTATGGGTATGTATGTGTAGGTGTGTGTGTGTGTCTATGACTGTGTGTCTCTGTTCATGTGTATGTGTATCTGTCTGTGTGTCTCTGTGTATGGACCTGTATCTGTGTGAGCATGTGTGTTTTTGTGTTTATGTGTGTCTGTTTCTGTGTCTCCCTGTGTTTATCTGTGTATCTCTGTGTGTATTTGTGTGTCTATGTGTCTCTCTGTGTCTGTATTTGTATGTGTCTGTGACTATGTGTATGTCTCTGTGTGTGTCTCTGTGTGTGCGTCTGCATATGTGTGCATCTCTGTGTGTCATATGTGTGAGTATGTCTGTGTATTTGTGTGTGTGTCTGTGTATCTATGTATGTGTGTATATGTGTAAATGTGTGTTTAAGTGTGTCTATGTGTGTGTCTGTTTGTCTAAGTGTGTCTATGTGTGGCAAGCACAAAATCCCAGCTTGGCACCTCAAGTCACAGCAGAACTAAGTGCATCCTCTCCCACTGGGGCCTGACAGGGCAGCCCAGCTCAGGGAAAGGGATCCAGAGACAGAGACAGCCCCTGTTCCCATTGTTAGGGGACCCACATGTTGACCCGGCTACATATCTGCTACATGTGTGTAGGGGTCTGGATCCAGTCCAAGCATGTCTTCGGTGGCTGGTTCAGTCTCTGCGAGCCCCATGGGCCTAAGTTAACTGACTCTGCAGGTCTTCCTGTGGTGTCCTTGACCCTCTCTGCCTCCCTCTCTTCTTCCTCCCACTCTTCCACAGACTCCCTGAGCTCGGCCTATTGCTTGGCTGTGGGTCTCTTCATCTGCTTCCTTCAGATGCTGGATCAAGCCTCTCAGAAGACAGTTATGCTAGGCTCCTGTCTACAAGCATAGCAGAGTATCATTAATAGTGACGGGGTTGGCTCTTTCCCACGGGGTGGGTCTCAGGTTGGGCCCCTCACTGGTTTGCCTTTCCCTCAATCTCTGTTCCACCTTTACCCCTACGCTTCTTGTAGGCAAGACACATTTGGGGTCAAAAGTTTTATGGATGGATTTCCGGCTACAGGAGGTTTCAACTTTATGCTCCCTAACACCTGCTGCTTGGGGTCTCAGCTAAGGTCGCTCCCGTAGATTGGCCACAATTTTTAATTGTTCAAATGTGTGTGAAAGCTCACACGTGTGTGTCCCATATCTGAAGTTAACCACAATTAGGTTCACTGTAATTTCAAACTTGTTAGTATTTTAATGTTTTTATTTTTATCAACCTAATACCCTTTAACCAATGGGACTATAAAAAAAAAAACTTAATATAGCATTTGCATGGTATTTTCTTGTGTCTCCCATGACCTTCCCAAGGGTCTTCACGCCACGTGTGCGTGATCCTATGAGCACCATGATTTTCCATCTTTCACACAGAAAAATACACAGTCCAGACAAAATAATTTATTACAGTATGTACAGTAAATCATTGGCAGTGCAGTGAGCACAGGGCAATGTTGACACTCCCATCCGCAAGCTTCCGTCCCCGCCCTTCCTCCTCTCAAGACTCACAGCCCACCACAGAGCCCACGGAGACCTGACTAATTCCCCGCTTTTCCTCTTCTCAGCCTGGCTTACAGGGCCCAGGGACCTCACACAGCTCTCTCCAGGCCTTCCGTCTCGTGTAACAACAGGCTGTCCGTTGACACGCGGAGCTGCGTCTATGCCCGGTGCCTCACTCGGCTCTTTCCTAGGCTAGCCTGAAATCGTTCTGCAGCAACACGCTGAGTTCCTAGCTGCAATGGGGTAACATTACAATATAACTGAGATCTTGCAAGTATATTTTAATTAATTTTAGGGTCAGCGAAAATTATTTTCCCATGGGAAACCAGCTCCACATGAACGGTCTTCTTCCAGCTAAACGTGCCAGGCACTGCCATTCGGACCCGAGGCCGCCTGCCTTCGTCCTGCCAGTGGGTGAACACCAATCAGGACACCTCATGGGGCGGCCGTGGTGGCCATGTGAACACATGGGAAAGAGGGCCCCAGGCTAATTATTTCAGTGATTCCCAGGGGAGTATGCTGCATCGGGATGGCAGGGGTCCCTGCAGGAGCCTTTACTGTCCTGTCACGTAGTGTCAGCTTCTAAGTCCATATCGCAGGTCAACATCGGTGAGGCAGAGGGTCACTAGAAAGTGCATTCCCTAACAGACACCAAAGGTACACTTTGTGCAGTCACAGAAAGAAAAGAAAAGAAAGGCATAGCAAGGCCAGGCAGCACCCATCAACAAATGCCATAAAAATGTAGGATGTCAACAAATATTCCTGAGTGGCTAAGACACTTCAGGCGCAGTGAACACCAAGATGAGTAACAAACACAGGAGACATACCAGAGATTTCCACTTCAACAACTCAAGTCGTCTGCATCTCCAATGACTGTGAGTCCCCCTCTTCCGGTAAATGCTGTCTTCTTGAGACTGCCACTTTAAAGAATACACTTTTGGGACAAGGTGTATCGTCAGATTCTGGGTATTTTTCTATTTGTCAAATTGATTTTCTTTTTAGTAGAAAAAAAAATCTAGAGGGATGTGGTGACAGGGGTTTTCTTTAAAAAAAAGAGGAGGAAGAGGTGATGGGCCAGGTAGAAACATGACAGGAACCAGACTACAATCTCTAAAAAAATAGTACTTAAGGATTATAAACAGTAATTACAAGCTACCTGAGACAAAGTGCTTCAGACAGCACAGGATTCTGTGTCTTAGTCTGACTCTGTGTCTGAGTCCACTTCACTTCTAAAGCTCCAGTGTGGACAGATAAGTATGTCACACTGGCTTCAAACGCGTGAGTTCACAGCACAGCAATCATCTTCCTCCAGCAAGCCTATAATCACACATGTACATCTTTTATCTCAGTGGGTAAAATTTACAACTGGCCAGGTTCCCCTCACTACCTCAGAATGGGTCTAAAGGGAACAATCCCAGACTTGCCAAGTCCACCACGGAAGGCAGGATTCAGGCAAAATAGGCATGGCAAAAGACAGCCACGGCCAGCAGGATGATGCCGTTGATGTTCATCACTGTCCTCCACAAAGGCTTCTCAGAGGTGTCCGTCATCTTCATCTTCATGGCTTCCTCCTCTTCCTTAGTCATCTTCGGTCCTTTCCCCTGGTCCAGCCCACAAAACAGGTCATATGCCCTCCTGAAGCATCCTTTCTTCTTTTGGGGGACTTCTGTGTCTGCAGAAAGACATAAAGGGGCTTTTGGATAAAAAGGCTAAAAATGTCCAGAAAGAGTTTCCAGGGAAGGTGGAAGGCCACAAAGCATTTGCCATCCATAGAAACGCCCCAGTTCTCTTGCTCTCGGGACTGGAAATGGAATTCAATGTTCAAAGGAGTTTAAGCATGAGACAGTGTTGAACTGGATTCTGCATTCTCATGATTTACTAGTCTAAGTTTTATCTCTTCCAGGACTAATAAAAAAAATGTGTCTTGATTTAGAACAGCCGAACAAGATAACATGATGAGAGCGGTGAGAGGGACAGCTGCCTTAGGAAGAGCAGGTGACAGATACAGACCCTGTATCTGTTCACCGCACCACTGGGTGGAGATGGGACGGGCCTGGCTCAGAGGAGAACTGGCTGTACTTGCATCTCCTAAGGTTTCACAGAGGACTCTGAGAAGGGCCTGATGCCAAGCAATGATCACCAATCCTTGCTGGGCTTAACCCAGCATGCCCAGACATGCTCACTCTGATTGGCCCTGACACCCAAAGCAGAGCCCGTCAAGGGAACAGAGGCCCTCTTGGGAGGTCCGTTGTGGTGCTGACAGACAGACACAGTTTCAAATGCCAGTTCTCCCCATTGTGAAATCCACCTCACTGCGTGTTCTAATACAATGTTCAGAGACTGCTGATCGGCACTTCCTGGTTTTTATAAGCCAGTCTGTTATGTCCTGGCTTGGTTTGGTGGGGTTAGGAACAGAGTCTGAAGCTGTAGCAGGCCTGGCCTCCCAACTGCTGTGATTAGGGGATTATGTGCCACCATTCCTAGCTTACACACTTTTACAACCAGAGCTTTAGCAATCAAGTGCGTCTGTGTATCGGAACTTTAGAATGGGGTGCTGAGGTTAAGTGTCCCCAGGCAGACAGCGAGTTTAGACACCCAGTGGGTCCACAGCTAGAAACGCGTGACGTTCTGGTGCCAGATTCACAGCTTGTTCTTCTTGGCGGAGTGCGATCCTGCAGAAGGACTAACGCTAGATGGAGCACAGGGGCGTGGGTGCCCACGCTTCCGCACACCTCACACGTGCACTCACCACGTGCGCACCTCCTCCACGCAGGGAGGAAAAGGTGCAGCCCTGAAGTTGGAGAAGGACTTAATTTAAAGGGTAGCTCAGGGACAGAGTGCTTGCTTTCCAGTGTGCTAAACCTACGTCAGACTCGATCCCAGGAAATGAAAAAAAAAAAAAAAAAAAAAATCATGAAGAATGTGTATGGATGTTAAGCGTCACCTTAAACCATCTAAAGAAACTGCATTTTTCCAATTTCCAATCCAGAGAGATCGAAAGAGGAAAGGTGTAAGATCCCAAGAGCCTCTGCCCCAAACTCCCAGTGTCACCAGAGGCGAACATAGCTTTGTGTACATCTCTCTTCGTTCACAGCATGTCAGCAAAGCCCGAGTTCTCCCACCCCAGACCACGCTCCAAATCAAGAACAAATTCTTCTTCGTCCGGAGTCACCGAGTGCTGCAACGCACGAGGAGCGAGGCAGTGGAAAGGTTTTTCTCTCACCTTCACCGTGTGGTGAACTTCCTCAAACACATACAATCTTTCACCCTGCCCCTCCCCCAGCCCCTGGGAAGAGACTCGAGCATTGATGAAGACATTTGCTAAAGACTTCGGTAAAAGGCTTCGGGACTCACCTATTTCAATCGTGTCCTTAGGGTCCTCCCGGGTTTCCTCCTCTCCTGCGTCCAGGTCGATACGCTCTTCTTTGCTGTTGCGCAGACTCCAGCACAGACGGTACAGCTGTGGAGAGGGCAGAGCATTGGCAGGAAGATGTAACCAGTGCCTTAGGCCAAGAATCTCGGGAAACAAAGAAGTATGCACCAAAAAGGGAAAAGAATATGGCCTCTCTGGACCAAGAAAACATGGAAAACTGCCCCTTCCACAGCATCCGTTCTACACATGGAAGAAACCCAAATGCAAATACACCTACTAAATATATCTCAACTCATCCCTAAATGAGGCATCTGTGCCATCACCTCCGAGGCTCGAGGAGTGTCACAGAGAGAGCATCTGGGGAGGAGTGCCCTGACTAGTGCTCATGAACTCCCTGTGGCTGTGGCCTGCACAAAATTGGCCATGTCACCATTTCCTTGTGTATGGAGACGGCGCTCACAAGACCCCACCCCGCACTGAGGGACTCTGGACAACTCAAGAGGAGGGAGTGTCATTTTCTTCAATGGGCTAGCCAGTGATAAGACTCCATGTTCTGGTGACTGACTCCCTGCCCGTTCTCATGAAAGCAATCCTAATCAAGCTTTGTGGGTCAAAAGATGAGATTCAGAGTAAGAGGGGGCTTGTTGGAAAGAAAAAGTCTCAGGAGGAGAGACGTGGGATGAAAGATGGTAATGGATGATGTACGTGGCCAAAATTCAGTATATTTTTATGTGAAAGCATCCAAAAAATTAGAAGTAAAATAATAGTAATAGTAATAAAACAAAAAAATTAAAAACATAAGAATAAAAGAAAAACGAAATAAAAAAATACAATAAAATTTAAAGTATGGGGCCAGTGAGATGGTTCAGTGAATAGAGGTGCCTACAGCCAAGCGCGAAGACTTAGTTCAATCCCTGGGATCCACTGAGCAAAAGCAGACGGCCATCTCACACAAGTTACCCCGATCTTCATCTGTGCACTGTGGCATGCCTGTGCCCACCCACGAACTCTCACACATGCACAAAATACATAAATAAAATAGAATTTAAAGTTCTTAAAATCAAAAATGTCATGAAAAGAGACTGCCTGAAATATAAGTGCTTGTCATGTGAATGAATTCACTTTTCTCCTGATAAATTTGTTCTTTTCAGCACTGCTACTAAGAAACAAGACCAAACAGTCATTCATCCAAACCAGCACTGTCCGATGTTATTATCGAATACTGAGATATTATAGAAATAAAAACTATTAGCATGAGGCATATCAGCCCAGGGTAGAACAGGGCTAGCTGCTACTGGTATAGCTCGGAATGTGAGGTAGAAGTTTGAGAAAGCCTGAGAAATGCAAGGCGGAGTGTCCATCCTGATCTCTAATTCACAGGGAAGCTCAGTGCTAAATCTGTTTGAGGCTTCAATACTTCTGAAGGAAGTACAGGAAAATGCTTGATGCAGCACAAAGATTCCTACCCCGGAGCTGACGAGAGGCAAGCTGGAACCCCCAACTACAGATGCGGATCTCTTTACAGTAAGGGTTCTCTCAGCTCCTGATAATCTGACAGAGAAGTTAAAGGCCTCTGAAGGAGTCCACGCTGTTTGTGTGTGCCGGGGCAAAGTGTTCATACGACTCTTTTCTCGTTCCACAAACAAATGCCAGGTTCGGTTCATTTTCTAGCTCTGCTCGTTTGCAAACCTGAGAACAATAAAATTGCCTTTTTTGCGTTGGGCCACCAGACTACTTTGATTATGATAAAACGGGCCCGTGATTGGTTGTCCTTCTGTGAATTGGTAGATGGATGGCAGAACTTTAATCCAGCGGCAGCACATGCAACCGGAGAAGCGCACTACGGTTTCGGGAAGCTTAAAATGGGCGGACATTGGTAGTGTGCTGTGGTCTGATCGTCTCATCCGAAGCAAACAGCAGAAGGTAGTTGCCAGTGGGACAATATTAAGATTATCTCTGATTACGTCTTAATGCTGCTATCACGGGAGAACCTTTCTGATAAAAACCAAAAGAGATGCAGTTTGGGCTCTATTCTTTCTCCCTCTCTCACATGCAGCTTCTATCATGACACTGACTACCATGTTTTTTGTTTGGTTGTTTTTGGGTTTTGTGTGTGTGTATTTTGTGTTTGTTTGTTTGTTTGTTTTTTTCAAGACAGGGTTTCTCTGTGTAGCCTTGGCCATCCTTGCTTTGTAGACCAGGCTGGCTCCAAACTCACAGAGATCAGCCTGCCTCTGCCTCTGCCTCTCTGAGTGCTGGGATTACCGGTGTGTGCCACTGTGCCGAGCTGGCTACTGTGTTAGTGCGCTGCAAGAAGCCCCTCACCACACAAAACCCTCAACCTTGGGTTTTTCAGTATCCATAACTGTGAGAGAAACAAACTTTTATTATTTATAATCTACTCAGTCTTTGGCGTTCAATTATAACAGCAGGAAACAGAATAAAACATACTGTTAAAAATACCTCAACTAGAAAAAAGTCGAGGAGTAAGCCACAGTTTAGGTTTCCCTGAGCGGGGTGATTTTTGTGGCGTGTTCCATAGAAGAAATGTAACTTATTTTGGATGTGGGTTTCTAAGCTATTATGTTGCCTGTCAAGTGACCTTACTTCACTTGTAGCTGTTGCTCAGAGAGCAGAGTCCAGGGAATAGCCCGCAGGCTGAATTCTGGGCTCCGTCACTTGTACCCTTGCTTTCCATCCTGTTTCCTTCTCCATGGAACCAGGATAAGCTGGAACTATTTCAGTCATGAGGCACTCAGCTGGGTGCTGTGGCAAGGTGTGGGAAATGAGAGCAGGAAAGGTCTCCAGTGGATACTTACGTGCACATCTGGAATGGGCTTGGTGAGGAAGGAGATGATCAAGATGGTGATGACACAGAGGACGAAGAGGATGATGGCGAAGTACAGGTAGTGGACCCCGCAGATGATCGTGGGGCAGTTGCTGGGCTCCATGCAGCTCCCCGTTCCGTAGGCAAACTCCGTGATCATACGGGAGATTCCCACCAGAAAGCCTAGAATCAGTCCCCAGAAGGCTCCCTGGAAAAGAAAACCCTAGGTTAATTGTGTGGAAGGGAGAAAGCAACTGGCAATTTCATTTCCCTAAGCAGTAGAAGACAGAAGTGAAGAAATGGAGAAGAGGCTCCTCCAGAACATCAGAGGCCAGAGCACTGGAGTTCAGATTTGGGGCATGAGTCTGTCTTTCTTGTTTCAGCAAAAGATATGCTGGATCACAAAACAAGAATTCAAAATAGAATGCAAACAAATACTTGCTGATTGGTAGAGACTATTAAACAGTGTGTCTTAATTCAAGAACTTCCTTCTAACCTAAACACTAGTTTGAGAATGGGCAGTGTAGCTCAGTAGTGGAGTGTTTGCCTAGTAAGTGTGAGGTCATGGACAAAATCCTCAGGACCACACACACACAAATCTGTAATTATTTGAGCCTGCATAACTTCAGTAATGTTCTCACAAGACTCCAGATTCCAGTGCATTCTGATACAAAGGAATGACTTGAAATTTATTGTCTCTGAAGACATTAAAAAAAAAAAAGACATTTCCAGCAACCCACAGGTCTTTCTGCATCACATCTAACCTAGAGCCCTCCCAGGTCACCACGTCCTTCTCCAGGATCTAGCCCAGTGAGTTCCTCTGACTCCTTCAAGGCTTCTCCCCAGCCCACCTGCCTTAGCCCAGGACCACACATTCATAGGTCCATTTTGCCCAGCAGCCGACCTCTGGACCCAGCCAGATAGCCGACATCTCCTCCAGCTCAATGAGTCTCCCTGACCCTCCCCGTTTACACACCTGCCAGATCTACTCCTGGCCCCACAGGGCCTCAGTCTGCCCCCCCGCCCCCGTCCTCACTGAATACCTCGTTTGTATTATGTCAGACAGTTAGCCTGACACGTGGGTAGCCGCCACCCTTTCCCAACCCTCCCCACGTGGGTGGATGGTTGGACAGCTTATCCACCCATAGGCTGGTTTCTGTTGTACTTTAAATTTTGTATCATACCCCTGCTGATTCGGATTCACTGACCTGGATTTCAAAGGTGCTATTTCTAACCTGCTCTTGCTCTGTTTTTTTTTTTTTTTTTTTGTTTTTTTTTCCAGTTGTATCTTCCATTCTATTATACACATATAAACTCCTTCTTAAGACAGGGGAGACCTCTTCTAAGTCCCTGACGTTCCCCTTCCATTTCCACATTGGGCAAGGTTGAACTGGACATCTTGAATTCCCTCTTTCTTCTCTGACTTAAACCGCTCCAGCCCCACCTCCTCCAAGGAGCCCTCCCTGGCACTGGCAATGTTAACACACAATGCCCTCTTTGAATCCCTGCCTACTTAGACTCATTTGTCATCTCTCTTACACAGTCTCCCAGGTGAACTGCTTGAACACCAGGACTTTGTTCTTCCCTGGGCCCCGAGGAGTTCTGACTAGAATTCCTCTGTAGGGAACTTGTATTAGGACATCCTCTGGGGTTGCTCACCCAGAGAGACTACAAACAAAATTTCCTAAGCAGAGCTACAGAGTCAAGTCAGAGTCACAGAGATTGGATGGACAGAAACAGCGAAGCCATACTAGTGAGCAGCCAGGTGTGTGCGAAGACTGTGGGAATGCCTGATTGCGCACACCATGCAGCAGAGAAAGCGAGAGGTGACAGGAGGAGCCTTCAGTCAGCTCTCCTGCCTTCCTGTCCACCAGAGGCTTCAGAGTGGAGAAGTCTTACTGCATAACGACCATGGGAAGCCTCCCCCTGTAGCTCACACATAAGCGTCCATCAGAGAAGTCATCACGGGGGCGGGGGGGACCTTATATGTGTAAATTACTTATGGCAAAGCTCACTGTGCACCAGTGAACCCGTGCCGGGGAGAAGCCGCATGAATGTGCAAAATGTGGGGTGGCCCTCATTTCTAACTCACACCTCATTCAACACCATACAACTTATCTTGTCAAAGAGTGAGGAAGAGGAGGCTCTCCTCTCATAGCCCTCACTCCACCTAGGAGACTCTCTGTCCTATTTATTTCTCCTGTGTTAACAAGGCCCTTACTGTTTTAAGTTAGTTTTCAGGAAGGCAATGTAAACACAAGCATTTCAGAGACTAATTTTAAAAAAAATATAAAACTAAGCACCTAAAAAGAAAAAAAAATGGATCAAAAATGTACACTCTTGGTTGGGACCTTGTAGCAAAATCAGGGGAGTCAGAGAGACACGGACCTGACACTGACTCTTAAGGGTTCACGCCGACTCTCAGGGAGACTCATGACTCCTTGAAACTCCCCATCCAAACCCTAGCTGCACATCCATTTCTGTTTGAAATCTCTGGAATGCAGAATCCTTCTCACGGGGAATGTGCAAACCCCCGTAAGCCACGCCTGCAGCACACGGCTTTTCTGAGGCCGCCGGAACGACACCTACCTGTTCATTGACTCTCTTGCAGAAGATGCCAAGCAGGAAGACAGCCGCAATGGGCGGCCCCAAGTAACTGGTGATGGACTGGATGTAATCAAAGAGCTGCCCGCTTTGAGCAGACTGCACGATGGGCACCCAGGCAATGCTGATGGCGATCAGCAAGAGGATGAACAACCTGAAACCAGAGCCCCGCGATAGAGTATCAGTGCTCTAAATGAATTAATGCATGCATATCAACAATAGTATCGATAAATACGTATATACATAGCAACAATAATGTCAATAACAAACATATATGCACACTCCTACATGCAAATGTTATCAGCATATATGATATACACGTGTGTATTACATAACTAAACACATAGCTCATATTGCCACAGTGAGGCAAAAGAAGCAGATTTATTCCTGGAGCATCTTTCTTCTTTACGCTGCTTACCAGAAAGTCATCTGTGTCTATCAACAGTGGAAACACATTTGACTGTCAGCTGTCAGCTAGGTCTAGTGACCTGACATAGAAAAATCCCACTTTGAGAAGAATCAAAATACAGGCGCACGGTTAATAGACTCTGGAGCGAGGCAATCATGAACCCACATTCCTATTGTTTCTGCGTGTTATAGAGCAAGTTACTTAATCTCTCGGCAAGACTCAAGTTCTCCAGCTGAAAACTCAGACTGAAAGGTTGGGATGAAGATAAATGAGAGAAAAACATCTCATAAACTTTTTAAAACACCGTCTTCTTTTCCTTCTTTCTTAGAAAGTTTTTAACAAAGTTAAGAACTTTAGCCAAAAAAGAGATTCGGAAGGAACAAGCTAGTTAGGATGTAATCAAGTTTTTCTGGCTCTCTCCCGTCAGCTTTTTCTTTTTCTTCTCCTTCAGTTTCACCTCACGTTGTAGAACTGTGGGAGATTCTCTTTCAAGCTCTTAGTACTTGCACACTTGATTTAATTATAAAAAGGACTAGAGTTTCCTTACCAGTGTGCATTTAAGACAAATGAGCAGTGTTTTCACATAGGTCTCCCTCTGAGAGGGCCTTCCCATACCACCCGCTTTTTACCCAAACCCTACCTGCCATTTTGACCCTAAGACCTCCCTCCACCAAGCCTCCCCCTACGACACTGTACCATGCTCTTCTCTTCCTTATCTGAGTCCTTGATTGCTCTTACAAACTACACAATTGTTGCATATCGCTGTGGGCTTGTTCAGTGCTGAGCAACCCCCCCCCCCCAACCAGTAGTTATGGGATGCACAAAAAAAACCACTGAGGTTCAATAAAATCATAGGGCCAAGAGAACTGCACAAGTTCTGGTTTTCTTTTCAGTAGGAGCCTTCCAGAATGAAAAAAAAAAAAAAAACCAATCGAGGTCTCAGTGCTGCTCCGCTCTGGGTACAAAGTAGCAGATTCTGTGCTGGTCAGATAGGCTTTTACGGAGGGGATCCTTATTTTCTCAAAAAATAAGGAGTAGGGATGCAGCCAAGTGGTAGAGCGTTTGCCTAGTATGTGCAAAGTGTCACATTCAATCCCAGCATCATTTATTAAAATGTATGTGCACATACTGATGATCTGTAATTTACAGAGTGTAATCGCCAATGAAACGTCTACCAACTTTCATTTCATTTTTAAACAAAAATGTTGCTTCAAAGGGGTGAGACGTCGGGAACATTTGGGCTCCAAAGAAGTGCAGTAAGAGGGGCGAGTGAGGAAAAGCTTCCAGGAGCAGCGCGGAGCCCTGGGCAGATGGCAGGCCTGGCTCTGCTCAGTCCAGGCTAGTTAAGGCACAGAGAACTTCATTCCGCTAATGCTCATTGGCAGCCTGAGGTAAACAAGTTGCTTTCTTCCGTCTCATCTAACTCCAGCGGGACATTTGTTCAGTTGCTTTCAATGTGAACTGAATTGCCAGGGCTGGGCTGTAGCTCTGGGGCACAGCACTTGCCCAGGGTGTACAAACCCCGAGTTCAATCACCCAGAACCACAGAAAATGAAAAGAAACTGCCAGGGAAGGGTACATATAACTGACCACAGAGATAACTCCAATTATACCAAGCGTCTGCCAATCCTGCCTAACGTGAGAGCTACCGTGAGTGGAACTTTCGTGATCTTTTAGTCTTCCGTGGTACGTGTTGGAGGGCGAGGTGCTGCATTTACCTTCCTGCAATCATGAGCTCCTTCTCGGATGCTTTCTTCCTGATCTTGGTGTAGATGTCCATGGTGAAGAGGGTGCTAGCACTGTTGAAGATGGAGGTCAAGGAGCTCATGAGTGAAGCCATCATCACGGACAACATAAGGCCTCGCAGTCCTGAAAGAGAACGAGGTTTTGGGTGACATATCCATCACCCTGACTCTCTGCTGTTCATGTGCCAGTACCCAAGTGTGTATGCTTTTAGAAGCCATGCCATGTCCTCAAATTAATCTCTCAAGACAGCATAGACATTTTAAGAAATGTACCGTAGCTTTAAATTCTGAGACCGCAGCAGACAATGATTTGGAGACAAGATGTATCTTAGAAACTTTCCAATTAAGTGGTAACAATAATGGTTTGGGGGACGAGCGTGGTGGTCCTGGCAGGTTCAACCTAGGGCACTTCCACAAGGACCCTCACCAAAGAGATCCGAGAGACCGCAGGAGGGTGTCTAAACTAGACTGAATGAGAATGAGAAGGTATCCATGAGTGGGAGCCTAGAGAAAAGGAGCCAGTCACATCTGGTAAGGGTGTACCATACCGAGGGTGATGTTGTCAGCTTGACTACATCTGGAATTAACAAAACAAAAAAAATCAAGTGGCTTGGGTACACCCGTGGGGGAATTTTTTTTTATTAAATCATTTGAGGTGGGAAGACCCACCTTTAATTCAGATCTTTTGACTCAGCTAGGCCCACCTTTATTCTGGGCCACACCTTCCGGTGGCCGCCTGTATAAAGGACATGGGGAAAGGGAGTTCTTGCCCTTTGCCTGTTTGCCCTCACTCTGGCTGGCAAGCCATCCCCTCCCGGCTTTGGAGCCGACTTCTTAGGGATTCCAGCGTATACTAAAGGCCAGCCGAGACACCCAGCCTTGTGAATTGAACAACTACTGAGTCCTGGGCTTCCTGTTAGAAGACAGTGGTTGTTGGGGTGGCTGGACCAGAGCCTGTGAGCCACTGTAATAGGTCACCTGCTGAAGCAGATCTGTGACAAGGACTGCCTGGCCTGCAGCAAGACCCATTTAAGCTCTACCGACAGCAGCTTTGTCATCGGTGGGCTGAGCAGTGTAAGGACACGCAACTTAACCTCCTCTCATTTTTCTGTTCTTATTAAACTTTCATTCACTTACCTACTCAACCATTTTTTTTTAAATATAATTGTAAGGCAGCCTAGTCCCCCAAAAGATCAGAGCATATCTGACTAGGTAAGATAAAAAAAAAAAAAGGTAAAAGTAGACAGGAAGATAAGTACAAGATAATTAGGAGACAAAATGGACAGAACTGATGAGGATTAGTGAGGGGGAAAAGCTGAATCGCTGAGAGAAAGCTGAATCTACAAGTGGGACCAAAAAGAGGCAGCCTGAGGAGATGGGAAAAGAGAGAAACAGGGTAATGTAATGGGAGTTTTGGTTTCTGTGTAAACTCAGTTATATTATGTAAATATGCTTTTGCTTTAATCCCAAATGTGAGATTATAGTTGGGCTACAGTTTGTCCACAGCTATTAATTGTTTTGTGTGGGGCATGGCTTTTGCCAGCTGGAAACAGTCCTTCCACGTGTGGCATGGAGAGGGCCGTGGTCTAGGGCTCTGAGCATATGAATTTGAGAGCCAGGAAAGAGAAGGTGGGTCATGTGGCGTGTGGCTTGTGGAATGTGGCATGTAGCCATTTGGAGAAATCAGAGACAGGACAGTGTGGTGGTCTGGAGCAGACAGACAGAGAGAAACACTTTGGGGTGCAACAGCTTGAAGAAGACCGCTGGCTGCAGCTGCCGGTGACGGAGATTGGTACAGAGCCCTAAAAGAACCCATTGACCCTAGACAGCCGGGAGAAATAAAGCGGCCCTCTCTCCCTGCTAATCTTCTCTCTCCTGCATAGGGTTGGAAGGTTGGAAGAGGGGTTGAGGCATAAACAACCCAACTAAAATAGAGTTATAAAAAAGAATGCTACAGGGTAATATTATGAATCCAAAGAGAAAGATTTAAGGGAGACAACCGATTAATAATATTAAATGCTATTGAGTAGTGAATGGAGAGTGCCACTGAGAGTGGGAAATATTTGTGTGGTATAGCACAAGAAAGGCACTGGGAATTCAGTATTCACAGAAGCCAAAGAGGCCAGAAACAACACATGCACAGACAGTGGTTGTGGGTTTGCACGGGTCTTTTTGTTGTCCACTGTTCTAGGGTGGCACCACGCGCTGGGGTCTCACAAGGGCGGGCAGGCAGAGCGCCAAGTCAGAGAAGTAACATAATTCCTGCAAAGACCAGTGTGACTTTTGCTCATTGGGACCTCAATTAATAAGCAGCCAAGTTCAGGGAGTTAAATATTACTCCCACTCTTCTATGATTTGAATGCAAATGGTTTGCCCAAGGTTGTGCAGAAAGTTTGTGGTGAAAAGTTAGAAAAGAAAGCCAGATGTGGCAGAGCACCCTGGCAATTCAGGCACCGGGGAAGCTAGACAAGAAGGCTGACTTCATTTCAGTTCACAGTTGGCCTGTCCTACATAACAAGACTGTGCCTCAAAAGAACAGAAAGCGTAATGAACAAACGAGGGAAGGAAGCCTGAGACAGTGGGTGAAGCATTTGCTCCATCAGCCGCTGCAGGAAGCCAGGAACAGGGGCACGGGGGGAGTGATCAAAGAGCAGTGAACCGAGTCCATGATGGAGGCAGCCCCTCGCTCAGAGATCCACATGGAAACTGAGATGCCAATCGGCCACATCTGAGCAGGGGGTCTAGGTTCTCTCCATGCCTAGTAAAAACAGCCATTTTACCAAGAGCAATCTACAGATTCAATGCAATTCCCATCAAATTACCAACACAATTCTTTACAGACCTCGAAAGAAAAAGTCTCAACTTCATATGGAATAACAAGAAACCCAGAATAGCTAAAACAATCCTCTACAATAAAAGATCTTCTGCGGGTATCTCCATCCCTGATCTCAAGCGGTACTATAGAGCAACAGTAATAAAAACTGCATGGTACTGGCATAGAAACAGACTGGTAGGTCAATGGAACCGAACAGAAGACCCAGGAATAAACTCGCACACCTATGGACGCCTGATCTTTGACAGAGATGCCGAAACCATACAGTGGAGATCACATTTTTACCACCCATGTGTAAATACTTAGCTTGGTTCTGTTCCTTGGCAATTGTGCACAGGCTTGCAAGGTGCGCTAGGCACACACGTCTCGTTAGCGCTGTTTCCATTCTCCCTGTGTGGAGATTGTTGAACCCTGTGGGAGCTCTACTTTCAATGTTTTTCAGGAGCCTCCATTCTGTTTTCCAAAATGGCTGTCGTAAGTTACAGCGCCTTTGCTTAGCTGCTTTAAATTATTATCTAGACAGGCATGGGAAGGGAATTTCTCTTCCCCTCAACAAATTTTCCTATTATTTCCTTTCTTAGCCCAACTGATGAAGAAGACCCAGAACTTCTAGATCCCTGCTGAGCCATATGCCATATTAAACTAAACACACACACACACACACACACACACACACACACACACACACACACAGAGAGAGAGAGAGAGAGAGAGAGAGAGAGAGAGAGAGAGAGAGAGATACATAGAGAAATGGGGCTTTTACCTTTGAGCACACCCCTGGCTCAGAAATGGCTTTGCCCCAGAATGTATCCAGGTGGAACCCAAACCAAATTCCCCCCCCCCTGAAAGCCTCACCATTAGGCATGAGCTCCACAACCAGGGTTGGATAGGCGATGTTGGAACAGCCCACGGGAGTGCCACAGTATCTCTTGCATTCGGAGGGGAGGACACAGGCAATTTTTTCTAGAGAGAGATGAAGAGTCTTATCAGCAAGTGTTCATGGGGAGACAGATGCCATGCTTACCTTCTTAAAGCAGCACCTCAAACAGGACATTTCTGCTCAACACCCGAAATGGTGCCAGGAGAAAAACATCTCCCACCTAAGCCTGTCTGTAGCATACCCCTGCCCTGTCAGTCCTGATTCACCTTGAAGCTGTCAGAAAAGAGGGTTCTGAGGCGGAGAAGGAAAGGACACAAAGAAATGATCTGTGGGGAAGAGGAGACACTATCACCTAAAGAGCTTGATGATGATAATTGTCTTTTTTTTTTTCCTCTCCTGAAAATCATGGTAACTTGTGGCTCCTAGATTTGAGGTTTATTTTGATTAGCTCTTAGACATAGAGTCAAACTCTAGAAAACTGGGGCGATTCCCAAGATGTGAGAAATCTGGAGCAGAGGTAAGAAAGAAATAGACTGGGAGGAGAAGAAAACAAGATCTCGACTCTGGGAGAAAATTCCAGGAACTTGTATAGAATTCAGCTGAACAAGCGTGTGTTAAGCACTCATTTAGCATTGCTGCACACAGCGCCAAATCCCTACAGCAGTGTTTTCTAAGTGTGTGCAGTAGCCATGGAGGTATGAGCCATTCTGTTTGCTGAACAGCTGACTCTTGGTGTGCACGTGTGACCGGTTTCCGGTTCTCCTTACCCAGTGGATTCCAAAGACTGCAGGCGCTCAACCCCTCAGACAGCATCGCCCCTGCTACTCCACACACCTCCCCCTTAAGTGTCCAGATTACTTACAATACGTCATAAGCTGTAAACGCTACAGAAATAGTTGTTCTACTATATTGTTTGGGGAAAGTGATAAGCAAAAATTGACATATTTCCAGTATAGACGCAAATCTTTTAATGTTTTTCAAGGTGTAGCTAGTTGGATACCCACAGATGTGTGATTAGGAAGACAGAGGGCAACTGTGTCTTTATCGTGTGGGCAAGCCCATACAGGAACGTGAGAGCCAAGGACAACACAGCAGACGCCTGCCAACACTTCTGACTTCATTTTGGAGGGTGCTTGCCAAACCGTCACTCTGTGGTGCTTTGTTTATTTATTGCTGTCATCTGTGCATTTCAGAATGGTTCTGATTCAGGACAGCTAACCAAAAGCTATCTTTATTAAGAACAAGCATGTAAATAGCAACACTCAGAGGCCACAAAAAGACCAAAGATGTGTCTGTCACTCAAGATGGCAAAGCATAAGGTGTGGGACACCCATGAGGAAACAAGCCACAAAACGGGGCTCAGAACACAGGGCCACCAGCACAGAGCACAGGGCCACCAGCACAGAGCACAGGGCCACCAGCACAGAGCACAGGGCTGGCTGGGCCCTTTGGACATTAAAATTACAAAACAAATTATTAGACACCACTACAAGCCTGGGGCCAGGGTACAGAACTTCAGGAGAGCAAACACTATTTCCTGAAGAGGGAACCTGGATGATGTCATGACTGTGGGAGATTAGGGGATTAAAAATGAGTGTGAGAAATGAGGGAGTTGATTCTCTCCTGCTGCAGTTGCCTCCGGAGTTTGGGTCCAGGGTATCAGGCGAACCTGCTATAAACAACTTTAAAACCATGACACACAAATAAATAATAAATTTATCTAAGAAGAAATCAGGGAAGACAAGGCAAACTTTCTATGCCCCAGGGTGCACGCACTGCCTGACACAGAAAAACCCAGATGCTTGGTAATCACGGCGTGAAGAAAGAGTGCAAAGCCGGAGCGGAGGGCTTCCCAAGGACCGTCGAGACAGCAAAGTGGGACTGGACTGAGCTCCGCTAGAGGAATTACCTGTGTAAAGAATCCGGCTGATCATCCCCGGCATCACCATGAGGAACATGGGCAATAGCTTCAGATAGCCGCACAGGATGCAGCCGGCCTTCACATGAGACAAGTTCTTGGCCGAGAGGCAGCGCTGCACAATGACCTGCCGGGAACATCCCAGTGAGGAGGTGTGCAGCCGTGATCCCGTGACCCCCTTCTCTATCCCAGCTTCCCTGTTTGGGGTCTTTAGCCTCGGTCCCCAGCAACCCACGGAGCCAACCAGCCCGACAGGTGGGAGTCTCGGTCATGGGCCCTGTCCACCCACATGCCCAGACCGCGTACCTGATCTGTGCACCAGTACCACAAGGAGAGAATGGCCAGGCCAAAGATGAGCCCGGGCCATGGCATGTCTCCCTTAATAGGATCTCGGAATATATGGAAAGAGTCGGCCCTGGGGACGTAGCATTCTTCCTTGATGGTGATATTTCCGTCAGAAACCAAAGTTGGAATAGCTTTCATGTACTTCTCCATGAAGGCATCATACCCTCCTACTTCGTGGAAAGCTGAAAATATTGGTACCAACAAAGAACTATGTGAACATTTTAGCTCCTTGGAGTACAAGGACACCAGCATAAGAAAATATCCTTGATGTGTGGTTTGGGGAAAGCACCTTCCTGCTAGGTCTCAGGTTTCCCATTTATTGGAAACAGGAGTGTTAATCTCTGCCCCGCCTTCTTGGGAGACACTATGGCATTTCAAAGCAGCAACTTGTGGTACTGCCCTGACTGCAAACAGTGTTGAAAGGGGAGGCCTTGGCTTTGGGCCATAGGCATGACTGTCAGCCATGGTCTTTAGGTCTCAGAACACAGACTAGAACACATAGTAGCCTTCTGGAGACGGGACATGGGCCCAAACAGCTGGCCCCAGGGATGCTTCAGGAATGGGTGAGGAATCAGAACCCTGAGTCAAGTCATTCTATCCTGTGCCTTGCTGAACCCCCAAGAGCCTACCAGGGGAAACCAAATGAAAATTCTTAGAAAACTACACTCTGGAGTGTAGATAAGAGTCCTTGAAAGACACCCAGAGGGTCCTAGGCACCTACAGACAAGAAGCGTCTTAAATCTTCTTGTAACAACTAGGTTTTCCAACGCCATCTTTTATAGTCAAGTAAAGTTTCAAGAGATGGTAGGAGATGCCAGCAGTGAGTGAACAATTTTTCAATATTGTCAAGTAAAGCATTAAACAATGCATGAACACTGGACTTTAACATCACGATGTACACAAGACACAGTTTCAGACTGAACATATAACGTGCGAATCTCTGTCACTTGCAGCCTTATTCATTTTTTACCCAGGTGCCCTGTGGACACAGCACCAGATCACTTCACTGGGGACCACCGACCCAGGCTGTAGACAGCAAACGAGGGGAGATCAAGTGGACCTTGGGTGTGCTTCCACAGGTGTCCTTCAGGGACAAGGTGGTGCCCACAAGAGTGGCCAGTTAGGGCTGGGCCACTGCCCCAACCTAAGCAGAGCATGCAGGCAGGCAAGGCAGTCTTGCTCTTCTCTTCTCTTCCCAGAACCCTGCACCTCTGCCACCTCCTCTCCAGCTGGCCCCAGCAACACTTACCAAACCCAGTCAGGATTAAAGACCCAATCAGCATGATCACTGTCTGCAAGGTGTCCGTGTAAATCACAGCTGCCAGGCCCCCTAAGCAGGCAGAAAGATGATAGGTCACATGGAGTGGGTGGCTGTCCACCTGCTTCCCTTTCCTGCCAACTGCCCCCTCTCTACCACAAGGCATCATCACCACTGCCGCCATGACCTACCCGCCTTTCCTTCCTTCCCTCCCTAATCCTGCTGCAACATCCTGCTACTGAGGATGTTTCTGACCTTCCCTTCTCATGAAAGCACCCTCAAGGCCTGGAGAAAGGATGACGTTTGTCTATATCTTAGCAGAGTGTACTAGTTGTGAGCTTTTTAAACTAGGAGATGGCTCAAAAGAGCGCCTGCTCTGGCCCTCCTCCTCACTCCTCAATACCTATGGCAGGCAGAAGAGCTGGCCCTGGGGTCATAAGAGTGGGTGAGCTGGCCCTGCCCCTCATCTGCTGAGCAGTGATGCAGATGAGAGAAAGATGCCCTCCTCCCCTCTTTGTCCCTCCCCATCCATGGCAGAAGAGCTGGCCTCAGGGTCATGAGAGTGTGAGAGCTGTCGCTGCCTCTCACCTGCTGCAGCACTCAGCAGAGCTCCTGGTTGTGGGGGGTGCTGGTGAGCCAGCCCCAAGAGAATGAGAGTGGAAGAGCTGGAGGGCTGACCAGCTCAGATGCCTCCCAGGCCAGATCCGGGTCTTTGAATTGGCCCACTCCAACATCTGTCCCATTGATGGACTGCCGGAGTGCTTGAAGGGGCCAGGTCTAAAGATCCTTTAAAGAGTTTGCTCTTTTTTTTGTTTTGTTTTTACTTTGTAATGCTAGAGATGGAACCCAGGATGCCCCCCCCAAAAAAAACCTCTCTCTCTCTCTCTCTCTCTCTCTCTCTCGCTGTGTGAGAGAGTGTGTGTGCATGAGACAGGCAATTGTGCTAACTGTAAGTTAGCTTCCCAACCCCCCTAAGTAATGTCTTGTCCTTGCATTTACAGGGCTCCCACGGAGCATGGAGTTCCACCATTGATCCTCTCTCCTCCATTCCCACAAGGAGCACCAAGGTCTGTGCTGTCCTCAAACCTTACTCCAAGACCTCTTTGCATATCTTTCTCCCACTTCGCTATGGCTCCCAATCTCATCACCTTAATTCTCACCCTCTTGAGTTCCCAGTAACCGCCTTCTTCAGGTAGCCGCTGGCTCATCTTGCTTCTAAGCCACGCCATGCCCATTCCTGCCACCAATTCCACCATTCCTGCCACTTCACTCATGTCTTCACCGGGCGTTCCTCTAATTGCCCCAGCTTAGCCACATTGTCCCTCAGCCTTCAGAGCCAAGCTCTTCCCGAATGCCTGTGAGATGTCCTGACCCGTCCAGCCAGTGCGGGAGCTTTCACAAGGCTTTGTCACACGTGCCTAACCCCGAACCAAGCTTGAGCCACCAATTCGCTGGAATGGACTCACCCGTGATCGTATAAAGGGCAGTGATCGCCAGCAGAATAAAGATGGCCAAGTATATATCCAGGCCCAGGGCTAGGTTGATGAATATGGCTCCAGAGAAGATGTCTGCCTAGAAGGAGAGAGGAGAGGGGGAGGCAAAAGTGAGGCAGGCTGTCTGGTCACGGGCCATCCCTGGGTTTCCAAGCAAGCTTTATTCATGAGAGTAGTTAGCATTTTACAAGAAAAAAGAGAACTCTAGGGTTTTAAAAAATCTATGAAATGCTAGATTAAGCAAACTGAAGCTGGCTTCTGCGCCACGCAGCACCCCTCATCTTTAACACACGTCGCACACTGTGAATAGCCAGCTGAGGATCACCAGACAGGGTGCGTCACAGATACTGAGCCATGAAAGAGGCTCTCAGCACCCCACCTGCCACCCATGGCTCCTGGCCAGCACCCCTGGTTTGTACGCATCAGTGTGCACAAATCAGTGAACTCTAGCCACAGAAGCGGGTCTTCAGATCTGCCCGAGGGGAACCCAGCCCCGACTCACCACCCCTTCAAGATTTTAATTGTCCACCAGAGCACCAAGTGCCCCTGCCATGTTAGCAGTGCTTCTGTCTACACCGGCTGGCGTAATTTTCAGGACACATGTCCCCTCACACTGCTGGACTCTTCACACAATTCTGCCAGGTTTCTTTACCTCTAATAATGCTACCTGGCTGGACGGTGTGCAGTTGCTAATATCAACCAGAAGAGGGCGCCAAAACACTGTGCTACCAGGAAGAGGCAGCTTCCCGTTAATCTTGGTAAATCTTTTTCAGATTTGCAGGTAAAGAAATTAGACCTCTCCTCAATGGAGTGTGTGAGATTTTTGTTTGTTTGTGTGTGTGTGTGCGCGCGTGCGTGCGTGCGTGTGTGCGTGTGCGTGTGAGCGTGTGCGTGTGCGTGTGCGTGTGTATAAAATCTAATAAATTTTAGAAGTCTGCAAAAGGAATCCAGTCACACTCCTTGGGAAGGGGCCAACAGGATTGGACTACAGACACACACACACACACAC